CGCCGCCGTCCGTCGGGCCTCCCCCTCCACCTCCACCCGCCTGCCTGGTCGCAGCAGCAGCAGCAGCAGCAGCCTTTCTTATGACAACCTCATCAACCCCACAGACCCTCAGCTTCTGCCTCAGAGAGCGCCCCCCTCCTCCTGTTACCACCCTCACTTCATGACTCTGGGCCGGGACGGGACGGTGGGGCAGCGGCCAGCTCCTCCGTCCTACAGTCCCGTCTTCATCGGTGTCAGCAGACAGTCTCCTCAACCGCGGGAGATCTCACCTTCTCTGCAGGGTCTCACCTCCAGAGACGCATCGCCGTCCTTCCAAGGTTTCATCCAGAGAGACCTTTCCCCTATCTTTCAGGGGCCGCTTCTGAGAGACCTGGCCTCCCACAGTGTCACCACACGAGATGTCCCTCCACCTCCGGGACTGACCATCCGGGACATAGCTTCCCAGAGCCTGCGTGATCTCGGACCACAGGGTTTGACGCCTCAGAAATCTTCCGTCACTACGAGATACGATGGATATTCCAAAACCATCATGGCGTCCATCCAAGAGAAACGGGAGATGGAGGAGAGGGACAGGATGCTGCGTCTCCAGGCCCGGTCTCAGGGGCTCTACGGCCCAGACATCGGCATCTACGACATTCCCAACAGGAGGAGTCTTCCGCCGGACAACATCCGACTTCCAGGTTCACGTGGTCCGACTCCTCCCGCCTACGGCTCCAGAGAGTTTCTCATGAGCACGGGGCTCCACGGCTACGGGGCCAGAGCCTCGACCCTGTCCAGCTCGTCCACGTCCTCCCTGACTCGTGGACCAAAGACGTCCAGCTCTCCTCTGCAGAGCAGCAGCAGCAGCAGCCTGCAGAGCAAAGGCAGGTCCTCGTCCCCGGCCTACTGCCCTTTGGAGAGACAGAGCCAGCCTCTTCCTTCCTCTACAGCCACCCTGCCCCGGCTGCCTTCCTCCTCTGGCCCCTCCTACACTTCGTATGCCACTGTGAAACGAACCTCCGTCAAGCACTCCTCAGAGGCGAAGGACTGCGTCACCCTGGGAGCTCTGAAGTGAAAAAACAACAACAACAACTCTCTGAGTACTTTATTTTCAGATGCTGTGAATGAATCATCTATGCAGTGTTAGCCTCCGTTTTCTCAGCTCCGTGATCTTGTACAAAGAGAACCCACCTGAGTATTCCTGCGTAGGAAGAGGAGGACGAACAAACTTAGACTCGTATCTTTGAGTCGATGGAAATAAAAAGGCTAATCTCAGGATAGCTGCGGCTAACAGAGATCGACTTCATCTCTCTGTACTGTACGTGTTTTTTTTTATAATGTTTTAAATATTAAGATTTAAGTTCAAGGTCATAAATCCTTCAGAGTACTTTGATATTTATACATCGTTTGATATTTGCTTTTGTGGAATATAAGACATGACTGAATCTGACTCCTGTTGTAAAAACATCCCTATTTATAAATCATTTTGTAGTTGTTTATATGAATAAACAGATTTTGTAATTTTCACGCATTGTTTTAATACAGTTTTTAATTGGACGGTATTTTTTAAATAGTTGAGTATGAGGTATCCAATGGGTTACAAACAAATAAATTTGATTCCCTTCCAGCTCAGCAGGGGGCGCACCACATTGGAAATAAAGCCCTGCCTGACAGTGATTTTCAACAGTTTTAGATTGGATCATTTTTCTTTGTATTTTTTTTACGTCACTGTTGTCTTTTATCTTCTCTGCTTCATCTTCATTGAGTTGTATTTATTTATTTATTATTTATTTTTGACGTTTGACGATATTTATATTGACGTTTATACTTTTCTACCATCGAAACATCACGGTATAAAAGCTAAACAGCTACACCTACGTAATTTAGTGCTTTTTAAAGTTACTTTAAAAAAAATATCAATGAATTTAAATGGTAGAAATAAATACACTTGTTAGGTGATCAGGGAATTTTACACCAGGTTGCCAGGTCTCACCTAAGGACTAAAATGTTTTGGGTTTTTTTTTTTTCAGAAGAAAAACAAAATCTAATGGAAATGCAAATCTACAGAGCCCCTAAAAGGACATGGAAAAAAATAACCAAACGATACTTGTGAGCACCAGAAAGTATCTCGTGCTCACTAACATGGTTTCATATTTTTTTCCCATGTTCCTTTAGGGGCTCCGTACAAATAGAAACCCTTTACCAAACTTTAAGAATTTCAAGTTCGGTTAAAAATTTAAACATTGCTCCGATTTGTTTTTTCAATTTCCATTTCTTAGTTTTGAAAAACCTGGTTGAATAAATCTTTAAGAGACTCTTGGCGATTTTTTGGACTTTTTTTTTGGTGTTCCGTACTGATAAATACAATAACACTTCGAAAGTTTGCAAACACAACGATACCGAATATGCTGTGATATCGCGTGAACCTGAAAAGATATAAATGACTCAGAAAATACAGCGGTGAATAAAATATAATGCAGTTAGCTAATGTAACGTTCCTGCCACACGGAGTGGAAAACTAATACACATTATCAGTCTTGATTTAAACACGTCCATCTCGCCCTTTAGTGCTTCCCCCTTCAACAGCGGTAAAGATAGGGATAAAGATTACGCTCTTGTACAGATGCTTTATGGCGGTAGACTTTCAAAAGTGTTTTGGCAGAGGAGCCACAACACAAACAAACACTTGTTCTGCAGTGATGACAGCTGGAAAATGAGATCGTAACGTCCCCGTGACTGTAATACATCATTTTACTGAAACGCTGCACTCATTTACTTTCTCTGCAATGACAGTGACGACGAGGTCGATTTGGGAAGGGCGCCCTCTAGTGCGCGGTGACGGGATAGGCGTGGTGGTAAAGTTAGTGAGGCACAAAACAGCAAGACGTTAAAGGACCAACGCTCTGCGGTGTGATTTATACACGTGATAATTCCCGCTATTATTTTTTATTATTTATTATATTACAATTAGGTATCATACTTTTTATTTTAGGGACGAGGGATAATAATAATTTAAACTAGGTATCATACTTTTTATTTTAGGGACAAGGAATAATAATAATTTAAATAATAATAATAATAATAGTAACAGCACTTATTATTATTGTGTCTCCATGTTTAATATGATGTATATTATTTTTTCTTATTATTTCTCATTAAGATTGAAAATTAAGACTATATATAGAGTCTGCCAGGAAAAGGAAAAACAGGAAAACATAAGAAATTGGGTCAGTTACTGAGCGCTGGCAGAAATTTACAGCTCCTCCGGATAGGTGACAGATCTCTCAGCCGACTAGTTAATTAAGCTGGATGTAGGAGGACTCCTCGAGCACAGTTAACCTGTCAACAGCAGCGTGATGAGGAGCACAAACAAAGGGAGCCTCTCAATTAGAAGAGCAGCACACCGAATGTAAACAACTTTGTTGTTAGTCCCCACACTTGCTGTCCACACACACACACACACACAAATGTCCAAAAACACTGCAGGATATGGTATCACAGACTCGTTCTTCTGAAGACGCTGGGCTGAAGACAGGGATTCAGAAGAAACATTGAATAATTGCTCATTTTTAGAAACCGTTAGGAATGAAAATGGTTTGGAAAAACACTGACCAGGATATTTTTTCCAAATAAATGTCAGATGATCCAGATTTTTGTAACATGACTGATTCGGATATTGTTCTTTCCACATTTTTTTCAAGAGTTTATTACGTAAAACAACTCGTTCCTAAACGCGTGAATCCATAAATGGTCCGGTGGTGGCGCTATCATCGCGACATTCTGTTTATAAATAAGAGTCATGCGAGTTCTGATAGGTGGAAAGATTGTTGAAAATTCCCAGCACTGCTCAGGGATTGGCTACTATTTCAGTAATCCAAAATGGCCGCCTGCAGCCGTTATCGAACGTCTCGCGCTAACGAGTAATTAACGAGCTGTTTTGAGGTTCTTCCGCGGTTCGTTTGTTTCAGGTAAGCAGTCAGAAATATTTGGAAGGTATTTGACTCTTATCCAGTCTAATGTTAGAAGTTAGTTGTCAAGTTAACGTTTTGTTTTTTTTTACTAAATAGTCGAAGTTAGTTGTCAAGTTAACGTTTTTTTTTACTAAATAGTCTTACATTAATATTTGATTGGTGGCTTTAGAACACTAATATAGAATATGAATCAAGGGTCATTACAGGAAAACGTTAGCTAGAGATAATCGAAAATTAAGTCAAACATTTGTCAAAAAACAGTTAAATTGAGCTGAAAACGAGGCATAAAAGTTGTTAAAACAAATGTATTCAAGACATTAGCCGTACATTTTTTATTAATTTGTTTGCAATGTAAATGTGTTCTCTTTAAAAACAAAATCAAAGTTGAATTTTGCTGACCGTATACTGAAATGTGCTAGGTTTACAAACATTTAAATGATTAAAGTTAAGTATACTTCAGTAGTGTGGTCCATAGAGTAGTGGTTAGCAGAGATCAGAGAGTTCAGGGTTCGATTCCCAGAGGAACCACATGCTTGATCGTTAATCTACCTCTTGTAAATCGCATTGGATAAAAGCGTCTGCTGAATGTAAAATAAATATTAATTTATATTTTTTATTGAAAGCTGGTATATTTTATATTACAAAATGTGAAATTTTGCAAAAAACCCTCCAAATCATCAGAGCCACTTCCTGTCTTTGTGCTGTGATTTATCCACTATATGACTGTTCACGATTACATGTTATTTATTTTTGAACCAAAGTGATTCTTCACCAAGATGATTTATACCTTTTTTTCAGACTTGTACTTTATAACCATTAATTATAACGCGGCCCGCTTTTATTTTCTGAGAATTTGTCGTCCGTCATGTTGTTGCGTTTGTTCAGTGAGGATTTGTGGTGTGGGAGTCGGCGGGGGCGCGGGGGGAGGAGGGGTGTGGTGGTGTTCTCCATCCTTGAAGTTGCTCAAATTATAGCCTCCACTTTTCTTTACAAACCAATTTTTTTTTTGCCCTTCTCCCACATCGAAACAACAATTTCCTCCTCCTTTAACTTTATTTGCTCATAAAGTAAACAAAGTTATATCTTCATAAACAGTGAAATATCGTCCAGTCGCTCAGTCATATTCATAACTTCATAACACACTCTCTCTCCCTCTCCCTCTCTTCCCTCCCTCTCCCTTCCTCTCTCTCTCTCTCTCTGTGGCTTTACTGTAGCTGTTCTTACATCAACGTGTGAGGTTTGCGGAGAGGAAAAACGGAGCCACGATAACCTCCTGACATGAACTGATCTGATCACTTCTTAGATTCACTTAAAACAAACGAGAAGCTCCAGAGTGACCTACATTCTCTGAAGCTGACTCTCTCTCTCTCTCTCTCTCCCTCTCCTTCCCTCTCTTCCTCTCTCCCTCCCTTCCTCTCTCACTCCAACCGTCCCTCCTACCCTCTCTCTCTCCCTCTCCTGCTCTCTTCCTCTCTCTGTCTCCCTCCCTCCTCTCTCTCCCTCTCTTCTTCTCTCTGTCTCCCTCTCTCCCTCCTCCCTCTTTCCCCCTCTCTCCCTCTCTCCCACCTCCTTTCGCTCTCCCTCTCTCTCTCTCTCCCTCTCTCTTCCTCTCTCTGTCTCCCTCCCTCCTCTCTCTCTCCCTCCGTCCCTCCCTCCTCTTCTCTCTCCCTCTCTCTCCCCCTCTCTTCCTCTGTGTCTCTCGCCCTCCCTGCCTCCTCTCTCTCTCCCTCCCTCCCTCCGCTCTCTCTCTCTTCCTCCTCTCTCCCTCTCTCCCTCTCTCTGTCTCTCGCCCTCCCTGCCTCCTCTCTCTCTCCCTCCGTCCCTCCCTCCACTTCTCTCTCCCTCTCTCTCCCCCTCTCTTCCTCTGTGTCTCTCGACCTCCCTGCCTGGGCTCATTGATATGCCGCGGCCTCATCATCAGAGGCATTGCTGAACTGGCTGATTGTCATTTCCAGCTGCAGTGTGAAACTGATGCATTTCATTTCCTCTCTGCAGCCTCTTTACTGCTGTGATTAAGCACTGGCTGCACTGACACTTGACAAAGACGAGTTGCATTAATAGCAAACCTGGCGTATTTCTGCCTCGGAGGAGGTGGGAGGTTATTCTTCACATTAACAAATCACAGTGAATGGACATGTTGTTGCACTGGGAGCCACTGCTGCCGTGCCAAGACGCTGCAGCAGTGAGAGTCAGGATGTCAGTTGGTGCTGCGTGGTTTAACTGTTAGATACAGCGAAAGTCAGGCCGGTCCAAAGTACGGCCTGGGGACTGATTGATGCACTTGGACAGGTTATAAGTGGCCCGGAACCTTGACCCTAAATTTAGTTTTTCATATTCTGTGATCAGAATAGGAAATTGGTTTTTCATGTTTTGGAGGATTTTTTTTTATATTCTGTGATCAGAATAGGAAATTGTTGAGGATTTTTTTTTTCAAATGAATTTAATTATTACATTTAAAAAATATATAATTTAACTAAAAATGTACATTTAAATAATTATGTTTTATATAATTTTCTGACTTTTGACTTGTGTTAAAATTAAATATTTATATAAATAGAATAAAATTGGAACAAAATTTGAAAAATGTAAGATTTCTGTTAAATTAATAATAATATTTATATTTAATTTAACTTAAAACTTTAACTAGCTATTTCTGTGAGTTACCTTGACATTACTCTCATAATGAGTGTGTTCTCTGACTAAAACCTAAGCTCTACTAAACCAAACTTGATCCTAATCAACAATGGTCGGCTAATACAGAATGACAAACATTTTCATCTTTCTTCTTGTCTTTTGCACAAGAATATTTGGAGTTTTGTGCAGAAACCAGACTGGTTTCATAACATTTAAAAAACCAAATCACTTTTATACAGTAGATTTAATTAAAGTCATTAAAATTAAATGCATTTACCAAACTCTAATTTCACAGCATGAACAACTTGCCCTGAAGTATTTTACATTACCACAAACCTATTTTCCAGAGAATTACAAAAAAAGTCTTTTTTTTGTTTCTCAGAGGAGTGAGGGACGAAGGAAACAAGGGAACTTGAACCTTTGACCTCTCCTGACTTTCTGAGAATTACAAAAAAAGTCGCATAACTACCCCTACCTAACCCTAACCCTACCTAAAATAATCCAGCTTGTCTGTTAAATCAAAGGACATTTTCCTTTTGATTTTTCAAAAAATGTAATACAGAGCATCATGAAAAATTCAAAACTACAGATATTACTCTCCTTCGTACGAGAACCTTTCCGGTGTTGTCGTTAAAAAACTTCAACCACAGTTCTCAACATCTAAATGTAACTCCTGTGATTCTCCGCGCTGAACCCAAATGTGTTTAAATGTTTAAATATGAAAACCAAATGTGACCTTTCTCCCCTGCAGTCGATGCGGTGACCTTCTCTGGCATTTCCAGCCTTTCTCTGTGTGGCAGCGCCAACCTGAAACACAAACAGCATCCAGGGCACAGCTGGCACCGCTTTGTATGTATTTTGTTTTGTCTGTGTGTTAAATTGAATTATCCTCCACCGCACATGTCCCTCTGAACGGAGCAGAGGTGGACATGCAGTGTGGGGGTTTAATTAGGACAACAGTCTGCGGTGCCTCGTGTCTCTGTGTGAGGCACGGTCCATAGGAGACGGTGTGAAAAAATGCCCCGCTGTTCGCTAAACACTGTGTAGGCCGTTCACTTCACGTGACACCACGACCGCCTATACGCTGTAATGTAACGGCTCTGTTTTGTGGGAGATTGTTAACACTCTGTTCTCTGCAGTACCACGGCACTCTGTTCACCCCAGTCTGTGTGTGTGTGTGTGTGTGTGTGTGTGTGATGGCAAGGATAAATTATATTTATCTCTGTCACACGGTGGAGATAATTTACCACACACTTACTGTTGTGATGGTGAAAAGGCTCCATCATCTGCACGACCGCAGCCACAAAAGAGCGTTTCTGTTCAGGCAGGCAGGGTGGAGACGAGGGACACTGGAGGGACAGTTCACAGGACAGTCATAAGACCTGCTATGATGGAGACAATGGTGCCGTTTGATAAACAGGAAGTTGAACTAGAGGTGGCAGAGCATCATGTTTCCCAGGAGTTTACGAATAATGTCTATTGACTTGGGTCATGAAGGTTTGTGGTCCCCAAGTTGGGAAAAGTTTAGGAAACACTGCCTTATAGTACCCGTGGGGGCAGTGGTGGCTCGGTGGTTAAAGTAGCGGACCTGGGGTTTCCAAAAGGGTTTCGGGTTCGAATCCACAATCTGCCAAGTTTCCACTGAAGTTCACTGAGCGAGGCACCGTCCAAACACACTGCTCCCTGGACGCTTAAGCTGCCCCCTGCTGACTGTTGTTGATGGTTTAAAAGCAGAGGACACATTTGGTTGTGCTGTGTCACAATGACAAGTAGTTCACTTGACTTTAGTAGTGACATGGGACAATAGATTGACAGATTGAGATGGAGCCGCAAGGCGGATGGAAAAGATAAAGATCCAAGAGAAGATATATGGACGTAGTGGAAGGGGATGGGGGGGGGCGTTAAAACAAGGGTGAGACAGATGCAGATGAGCTGGTGTGGTGAACCCTGAAGGTAGCAACCAAATGAGAAAAAGTAGGATGGATGACTAGACAAAGAAAGATACAGGAAGCAGACAGAAAAAAGAAGAGGTGGTAATGGAATGAAAAGAGAAATGGAGAAGAATGGGAGGAAGAGCAAGAAGCAGAGAAAAAGCTGAACAAGAGATGAAGAAGACAAAGGAATAAATAAAAGAAGGAAATAAAAGAGTAAAAACAGAAGGAGAGGTTCAACGGGAAAAGGAAGAATGATGAGAAACTACAAGAAGAAGAAAAGGAAAAGGCAGAGAAGCAGAATATTAAGAAACAGGAAAAAAAGAGAGGTTTAAAGAATGGAAAAGAGAAGAGGAAATGGTTCAAGGAGAGGAGAAGGAATCAGTGAAGCTGGAAAGTGTAGATACAGAATTCGGGACCTGTTTTCCACAGTGAAGCTCACTGGTGCAGAAATGATTCCCGCTCTTTTACACAGAGAAACGTCTGAATAAATGGTTTGAGGTCAGACAGCGGGAGCAGAGAATAAATCAGTCATCATCACAAGGCTCCTGAAACGCAACAAAAAGTCAAAATGAAAGCCCTTTTAGTGCGCTGAATAGCAGCACGTATAACACACTGTATCACGACATTATCCCTGCAGTCATTACATCACATTAGGAGAACCTCTCCGTGTTGATCCGCTGTCTACAAAACCAAATATGTGCGGTTCCTCTGCGACAGATGTCGTGTTTGTTCCCCTTTGTAAACAGTGTTTCTTTGTTAATCCAGGGACACAGACAAACAGCAGACAATAACAGACTTTTTTGTTTCTGGAAGAAAGTCAGTGCAGTTATTTTTGAACAGAGAAGAGGAGGGGAGCTGGGGGGGGGGGGGGGCACAGCAACTCCAAGGTTGCAGAAGGTTGTGTGAGGTTGAAGAAGAAATAGAACAACACACGTCTGTGAGTACAGCGCCGTCTTTTTGCTACAGTCATGGAAACGGATTCAGACAAACAGATTCTCTCACAAAAAGCTGCTGCAGTTCTTCAAACCTTAACATGATGGCGCTTAGCAAGAATGACAGTGAGTGGAGTCGACGAATGGCTGTCGCTCATGTGAAATTAATTGATGGATTCTTCGTTGATGAAATCTATTGCAATATATCGACTATTGCAGAGTTATTGTTTCGTAAGGTTATCGTTACAGTGGCCCAAATATCGTGATAGTATCGTATCGTGAGGTACCTGGTGATACCTAGCCTCGCTTGAGAACACTGCTCTGAATTCTGTAGAGTTCAGGATGAGCTTGAAGAAACCTGAAAACTTGTATTTGTATATTGAAAGCTTCAGTGTTTGTCCTATATATATGTGTGTGTGTGTGTGTGTGTGTGTTCATCTTTATCTGTGTTTGTGTCTTTGCGCATAGTACACGATCATGTGATCCAGTTCACGACCGTTAAAGTTTACTGCATCTGAAGAGCAAAGGACACTCTTAACGAATGAAATATTAGTCTCTGCTTCCTACGGATTTATGTGGCTGACATTAGTAATCTTTACTCTAATAAACTCAAAGTAATTTCTGTAAATCATGCTCTCAGAGGATGTCAATAAATCCTGTCTGATTCATTGTCCAGTATGGAGAGGTTTCATCCATTATCGGTCCCTCTGCTGTCGCACGCTGACTCCTGGTCATTCTTCCCTCGTCCACTCTTCTTCCTGATTGTTTTGACAGAGTCAAGGTTAAATACAGTTGCCATTGATGTGATTTATCCAGTTTCTACAGAAACCAATGATGTTATCGGGGAAAAGGATTTACAGCAGAAAAAGACAAACATGAAATGTATGTCAAAAACATTCAACCGGCTCAATCTCCACGGTGAAGGAATTGTTTCAAAACCTTCAAGGTGCTTTTGACTTTATTAGAAGATAAGGTAATCCTTTTGTAGAGATAAATATTTCTATTCATGGGATCTGCAACCTTGGGATATAATGGCTCTTTGATTCTGTCTTATTCCAGTGCTGCCCCCTGAAGGGCTCTCGTGCTACTTTTATACTCATTATTATGGTTCTTTGATCTCAGAATAAAAGTTGTGACGTGCTTTTGGCGAAAAAGAAAAGCTGGATTCCGTTTTATACACACGTTTAATTGGCTTTACCTCTAAATGACAATAAGCGACGTCATGCTCCGCCCACCTGTGGGCAGCTTTTTGTAGCCATGGAAATAAGAGCAAAATGACAGGCAGAAAATTGGCAGGTTCTGTGTGACGCAGTTGAGTGGTTTTTTTGTTTTTTTTTGGTGTACATTTGCACTAAGGCAGTGTATGCCATTTTGTCAGGTATGGTAAATTAGCAGGACACCTGACAACAAACTATTTTTCAACCATATATGTGTGAGTGAGTGTCCGTATATAGACTTACCAACTCCCAGTGGTTTATATTATATAGCTCATGTTCATTTTGCCCTATGCTAAATGGGCAGCTGTGCTTTTCTTTAGTGTTTTTACATCAGGTGTCCCCAACCCCTGGTTCGGGGCCCAGAGCCTGTCCGTAGGTCATTTAATACCGTAAATGAGTGTGACACAATGAAAAAATGAAAAAATCTGCTTCAGTTTTACTAATTTAAACTTCATTCCAGAATAATCCAGTCATATCTCTTTACTGTTTTCATTCAAAGATAATCTGTCAATGTTTCAGAACAACAGGTCAAAGGTCATTCAGACTCTGATACTGACAGAAGAAAGTCTGAAAGAGGTTTGATTTGGAAAATCAACGATGGCGAATAGATGATAACGATCGATTGGTCCTTGCTGGGTAACGCTGTTGTACATGATTGCGGTTATCCAGTATGGAATCAATACACGTAATCTAATTTCCTGGGGTTTATTATAGTTTCATACCATGTGATGTCACACAGTGAAGGACATTTTGAACGGCTCACATGAACGCACATGAACAGATTTTGTCAGATTATGAAAACATATATTTATTTTTGTAAATATATGTACAAAACCCTGACAAAGTCAATTCTCCATTATATGTCCCCTTTAAATACAGTACACTTATTGGGAGAAATTGCACTTCCATTGGAATAGCAAACGATAAAAAAAAAAACCTATGGTCCAGTAAGTGCTGTTCTCCCGGAGACCTTGACGCTTTTATTTTCCATCTGATGAAGCTGGTCCTATTTCAAGTGTTTCAATGGAGTAGTGGGTGGGAGACGGTGAGCGGTGAGCAAAATCATCTCAGCGACTAATGCACGGAACACAATTTTGTCTGACATAAAAAACATGTCATTTCACTTTTTATTTCAACACAGTGAGATGAAAAGGCTCTTTGTATTTGGATTAAAAGTGCCACAGCTTCTCACACATTACCTTTACATCACGCTAGGAGGAGAACGCACATGTTTTTCATCCCGCTTTCAAACCGAGTCACTGATGAAACAAATCACTTACCTTTTGAAGTTACTCCGCTAATTCATCTGTGTTCAGCACTAGCATAAATTCTACTTTTTCATGAAACATTTTTCCCTATTTTTTTCTTCTTCTTTGCATCAGGTGAAGTAAAAATAATTAGAATTATGAAAAAAGTATGTTTACTCCTAAGTAAATGAGTTAGTAAAACCAGAAATACCAAATGTTGCAATATCGCAAATTCCTGCTAATTTAATGGATCCATATAAATCTTATATACTATTATTATTATTATATTACTATAATAATCCAGTACCACTTCACTTTTTATATGAATCTCATGTCCCGACTCGGTGTTCTGTGCAAGGCTCACTTTTACTAAGCAAAATTACTGTCCCAGGATTCTCAGTGACAGCGTTTGGATTATTGTTTCATCAATGTCGTCGTTAAACACTGGCAGAAATCAATCTTTTCTCAACAACTAGAAGAGGAGATTAGCAGCAAAAAAAAAAAAAAAATGGTGCGACA